GTCGGTCAACCTAATTAGTGCGCGTGAACATCCATTTTAAATCTTTCTCTTTTAATTTTCTCATTGGAAATTGTGTACATAAAGGCACGAGTCTTTTGGAAAGGTAACATGGGTAGATTTTCATGATGGAAAAACTGAATCATTTATTTTTCATCTTCTCATTGAGGAAGCATAGAGGATAGCACATTTCAGAAAAATCAATTGGATCAGTTGATCATTATGTGAGATACATTTCACCATTTTGGTACCTTTGGCCTTACGGCCTTACAGGTGACATAACTTAATTTGCCCCCTTCGATTTTAGAAGGGTAACCGGTAACAGTGTAAAAATTTTCGATTTTAAAAAGTTATTTATTGTTTTAGAAAAAATGCTTTCTGAACTAATTGAAAATAATGACCTCTCAGTTCAGAGTAAAAATTTTATTTCAGTTAAATGTGTAATTAATTAAATCTGAGCTTAAGAAAGGTTCGATAAAATGCAAGATTCGTGCTCCCCTTAAACGATATAATTGGAGCGGAGCTTTGCGCCACGTGTTAGCACCTTGGAATAGCTCTGTGTATGTTCATCGTTTTATCTCCTGTTTTTAGCTGTACTTATAATCGTTTCAGTTGCCTGCGATTAAAGGATGAACTACAGAACTCTATGGGCGAACATAAAGTTAAGTGTAAAGTTCCTATATTGTCCATCTGAAAATTCAATCATACATCAATTCCATTTCGTCCGAAGTCATTGAACCATGAAAAGGTATTTATTGTTACATCTGAGACACATTGGTCAATCTGTAAGCAACAAACGCCCTGTCACCGTATAACAAAGAATTCCCTTGATTTGAATCGTGAGATCATCTCTCAAAGGCTTCAGGGCCGGTGTCCAAAGAGTTCGCCCTATACCTACAATTATCACACCTTTTAGGCAGGAGAGCAGTTAAGCAATTTCTGATGGCGTCAATACAGGAAATTTACTTACCCCAACATAGCATAAACTCACTGACTGAATCATGTGTTAGATACAACGACAAACCTCGGGTTCCTGACGCATTCAGGAACTTATCGGTAATTAGGAGACGCCAGTGGGCGAAGATGGTAGGACACGAAGTCTTGGCAAAAAACCCTCCGTATCAAGGTGAACCGTGCTGCATCGCGTTTGAGGCAGAACTTTTACCAGTCCAAGATTGGATACTGGATAAGAATTCCTCCAAGGACAGGTGGAAGCACAAGAAATCACTGATGAGATTAACAACAAGAAGTGACGGCGGATTGCAAGGCTTGGCTAACACGGTTGGTGATGGCAACCTAGCACTTGCTAACAATGTCAACAACTTTTCTCGTACCGGTATCTGTTAGCCGCGATTTGCCTCGCCTGGATGAATCTCACCCAATATTTCAGATATCGGATCCTTTACCTGATGACTTATTCATTAGTGTAGACATGACAAAAAGACCCTTGGTAAGATTAAAGTCACCAAAGCCACAGGGTCAGACTGAGTTCCAGCCTGGATTCTACGGGATTGCTGGCTGCTCCTTTGACTGCCATTTCCATGAGCTCTGTGAGAGAACGGGTTGTTCCGCCGCGCTGGCTGCTCTGGAAAACTACAGACCTAATCCCACTGCCCAAGAAACATCCAGCTTGAGCAGTAGAGAATGATATTAGACCAATATCACTGACCCCCACTGCCGCCAATTTCTTCGAGTCTTTCGTTATAGATGGGGTTATCCGAAGTGTCAGGGAAAGACTTGATAAGAACACGTTTGTGATGTATCTCTGGGATCTACACTACAGATGCGCTGATTGAAAATGGTTCACTAGTTGTATGAAGCTAATGACAAAACCAGTGCCTTTGTTTGAGGTGCCATGTGCTCCTGGATTAGTCCAAAGCGTTCAATAATATTAACCACCACATTATCATCAAGAAACTTGAAAACATTGGCCTTGAGCCACATCCAGTGCGCTGGGTGGCAATTTTTTTTGTTGGACGGAGTCCAGCGTGTGGAAGTTGGATCAGTGTCGTATATCTTCCCTTCCCTTCGCAAACAGGTTCAAGACTTCATTTATTCCCTGGTGCCGGTTTAATCAGCAGTTTCTTTTATCTGTTTGAGGTCTTGCGGGTTGAATTAGTTATGTGTTTCATGAGTAAGTCCTGTAGCTGATATAAGCTATTATATACTTTTTACTAAGCATACCTATCTTAAATACATGATTTGCTTCCAGGTTTTCATGTTATATAATATTTTTTATACCTTCATTGCGTTATTTGTTCTGACCTTTGACCCATGTTTTAATCTTGTTTTATTTTTTTCGATATCTATGATACATTTTGATTTTTCCATAATTCAATTTTCTTCCTGTCTGAGCCCACACTGCCATCCACAAATTTCAGTTGTTTGTTTATTCTTTGGTCTGTGTCTAATAAGTAATTTTTGCTATGTTGGTGGGTTTCGATGCTCAATCTGCAATCATGGACCAAAATTTGTGGTACACTCCGCTCTGCAGCCCCTCTCCCCACTCCCTGGTCAATGTTGTTTTGTCCAGCCGGAGTGCAGACCGCGCGCATACAGTGATAGACCTAACATTGAATGGGGTCTGGGATTGGAGGCCCAACGAGATTTGTCCAGGATTGTAGGCCTGTAGCAATAATGTGTGTTTTGTTTTTAATGTCATCTTACTTTACGTTTTTATATTAAGATTTTGATTTTATTGCATGATTTGCTGCTTTAAAGTAAATTATTTGTTGAATTCCTTCCTTTTAAGAATATGTATTTTAGCTGTTGTAACTTATATTTTTTTATTCCAACCGTTATTGGTTGCCAATAAGTTATCTCAACTCATCTCATAAATATTTAAATTGCCGCTATAACCATAATGAATTGAATTAATGATATGTAATTATTTCAGTAAAGAATTAAGCTGAAAACTGTCAATTTAAATTTTTCTGTTTCAACAGACCTGCTAATTCGGGCTAATTCACCATGATGTCAAAAGCCTTACTCACGGTGGCGACATACCTTTATTTCATGGTGATGTTTTCTTGGTGTTGTAGTACTAATATATGATAAAGAAAATATACTGATTACTTTGTTACCAATGAACTATTCTTTGTAAAATAGAGAAAAAAGGCAGCCGTCCCCCCCCCGGATACGCCACTGTCCACTTCCTTCTAAAGTAGCTGCTTCGACTACACGAGGAGTACCCTGACCCCGCCTCCCCTCTTCTCTTTGGCTACTAGCGGACTGGAGGTCGTTGATGAAACGTGTTAATCGCCTTTCCTTTGTATAGCAATATTCACATAGCGCATGAGTGCTTATCAGCGTGCGTTTATGGTGCCCTTGTGGGGTACCAGGACAATAACAGGTACCCCATAAGGGACATTCGTTGTCCTTACGGGGCACTTGAACTGTACTCCAACAAAACTTTCAAGAAAGAGGTTTTTGGAATTTACTCAAAAAGGAGGAATTTCAAAGGAATATTTACGTCTCGCAAAATGAAGTATTTTACGTTTGGTCGAAATATCAACCCAGGAAAGGTAGTCTGGTTCAGAATAATGGGAGCAATTTGGAAACTGCGCTGGACACGCCACGTTTTCAGTACACAAGAACAAAAGAAATTACCGACAAAAATACAAATGTAAGGGTCCATGAGAAGACGGATAAATGGAGCAAAATGTCCATTTAAATGTCACAACTTGCAATGCGTGAATATATAAACACTAAACAGTAAAGTGTGTTTGAAACCAAACAAAAACACTATTCCATTTTGTATAATTTTCTTCTCCATTTATTCAGTTCATCCATATGTAGACAATGAGTCGTAACTTCAAACTGTTTTTTTTTTATCCGGGGTTTTGACATTCGGAAAATTGTATCCCTACATTATTTTTAACGTTGATGTTGCATAGGTCACAGTTTCGATATTGGAAAGTTCAAGTAAAATGTCAATGATGGTGGAGTGCGCAGAAAAAAATACAGTAAATTACTTCCTTTGTAACCTAAATCATGCGGCTACATATTGAAACTATTATAAAATGTTATATCTACAACAGACTTTGCGCACAGTGGCCATCTCGAGGGGCAATGGTTCTGTTCAGTAGGGGCAGGCATGGGCAGACGATGTGTGCATTAACCGTCACTGGATTACACTCCCAGATGGCTGCTGAGCGCAATATCTGCGCATGTATTTTATCCTCTTTACATAATCTACTCGTGTGCATACAACTACCGTACCTGAACTTCTTCCTCCCCCATTCATAACTTTAACAGGAAAGTAAGATTTGTTGGTACATGTAAAATGTATACTAAAATGTTCTGAAACGCATGTACATGTATACCGCCACGTTGGCCAATTATCAAAACGTTCTCTTATTACAGCTCGGTGTTACGTCCTTCATTTGTTAATTTAGAATTCCTGCTTGATTATTTGAATATAAATACAGTATCGTAACATTACTTTGTACAATTTTCTGGAGGGGTAAACCACCGAATAAACAAAATTGTTGAAAGGTGCATGGAGTAGCAGGCTGGTGTGTCTATCCTTAATCATACGCATACATATATTTATTGAGGGCTCTCTTTTGTAACTTGTTATAAAAGACACCTTCGTGATTGGAACTTTACAATAAGAGACCCTGGGACAGATATGAAAAATAAATGAACCATCACAGTCTTCACTGTGTGGTGTGGTGTTAGCATGCATGTTTAAATCGAGAGAATATGATTCGGATGTTGACAGGATTTGCTCCATTCTGTCCAATTTTGTTTATAACGGCCCTGAAAAAACCACACGTTTACGACAGTGCCTTTTGAAGCTGTCTGTATTCATTGTAAGACAGTTTCAAAATTGCAAATGGCAGGTGTACATTTTGAATGGAAACGTGAGAAAGGTCGGGAGAGCACTAGAAACTCGGGATCACGGGACATCTGACTACAATACATAGTCATGTACCCAGTGCTTTAACACATACATATCCATAAAGACTATGCATTGTGGACTCTATACTGTGACTTCAATGAACTACAGTACAAGGAAACTAAATCCGGAAGTGAAATTTTCCCCTATCTTCATCAAATCGTGATCATGATTAAAAATTGGGTGAAACGGAGGGTAAATATTCAAAAGGAAAATACCTTGGGAAGATGGTGAAGTTCTGCCCCAAATCTCATTTTAAGGTTCACAGAATATGGTGCATGAAATTTGCATCTCTGAAATACATGTAATATGTACTTCCCTAGGATAAAAGAGATGCAAATGGCAACTGTCCTCCAGTGAGCGTAGGTCACCCTAGGAATCTTTATTAAGTGTTTCTCTGTACTGTCCTGGGTCTTTTTCCAGAGCGATCTACACACAGCAAGCCATCTTAAGCCTAGTCAAAGAAAAACAGAAAGAGAAACAAATATTGAAAGCATCTTCCTCACACATCCACCCAAAAACTCTGCGAACAAGCAACAGACTTTAAACATGCTTAGAGTCCAATCTGCATTTGGAGCAGGCCAAAGACGGCATTAGTGTTCACCCCTGGGGTGGATCCACAGGAACATTTGTCAAGGGGATGGGCGGGGGAACAAAGAAGACTGACTTCAGCAGGGGGGGTGTTGGCTTTGGGTAGAGAAGACCCTAAAGCCTTTGGGGTGAGTTGGTTTTGGTTTCAGGTATAGGGGACCCTACTGCCTGGGGGTGGGAGATGTCTCGGGTGTCAGTAGCGGGCATCATATGTCGATGAGCTTGAAACTGATGTCTTTGTGCCGGAAAATCTCAATTTCTTTCCGGATTCTTCTTGGAAGCCAGTACCGGATGGGGGCGATGAGTTCTGTGTTGTCCCATCTGATGTGCTGGAGCTCTTGGTGCAGGTATTCTGGTCACAGATCTCAAAAACTCTGCGGAAAAGGGTGCGGTTGACGGACGACTTGATGGCTGGGTGGTGGAAGGATCTCTAGCGTGGGTATCGATCAGTGTGTGTGAGCTTGTGGTGGACACAGTGGTTGAGGGTACTGTTAGGGTTCCTGGACAGGTGGACATCCAAGAAGGAGAGCTGCCTGTCTTGTTCTTGCTCCACGGTGAACTTAATGGTGGGGTGATGCTGGTTGATATATCGAGGAGGTGATCTGGACCATGGGTCCACATGACGAATGTGTCGTCAACACAGCACAGCAATAGGATGGGTTTGAGGTCTGCAGTGAGGAGTGATCACGTTTCAAACGTCACCGCAAGCCCACCACTGAGGCCCACACACTCTCCTGAGGGCAGCCAGAGCACCTTGGCCGAAAGGTTGAGTTAGCAATCACTGGTTCTTCTCAGAACCATACGTCTTCTCCAGATAGTTTCCATGGTGTACCCACAAACTTACAGCTCACATACCTTAAACATGCAAAGCTTCAAATCTTATTTAAATGATCTCTGACCTTGAAATAAGCATGCATCTTTAACCCAAAGGTATTATTAATATGCATGTAAGTTTCACACAATTGTGGAAAACAAACTCTGAAATCATGGCATCCTGCAATATTTTGATCCACAGATTGCCATTTGCACAGTTGCCGACCTCACTTGACCAAAATCCTACGTTTTTACCTTAAAAGTCCTATTTTCCAAAAACAAATCCTACTCTTCACTGTTACGTAATTTGGAGCTTGATTCGTATAGGAATGATCGAGAGAGCGCGATTGCACAGTCTGAGCTCCAGACTGATTTTCCTTATACATCTAAAGTTTACATACGGTGCACAGATGAACTGCACAAATGAAGCAGCAACGGACAATAGAGGGCCTTGTGGATGCACACCACATCATGTGTGTTGTATGGCATTTCTGATGAAAACATCAATTTCAAGCAAAACAACAGGTAAAAATCTAAAATAACTACAAAGCTTTTCTTTTTTTGGTAAATCGTATTTTACTGAGAAAAATTGTAGTGTCGTATTGTCACTGAAAAATCGTACGAAATACGATAAAATCATACTGTTTGGCAGCTCTGCATTTGCCAATAGTGGTTACAAGAATTACACTGACTAAAACTTTTGACATATTTTGCCTGCCAACGATGAACAGGTTTGTTGTGCCTCAGGCTAGAATAATTGGCTACATGTCCGGAGCTGTACATAGATGTGACAAAAATCGTTTATTATGCGTCAATGATTCATTTATTAAATTAATTTAATTTTATGTTTTAAAAGTAATTTTCTGACTTTTTATGTAAACTGAAGAGTATACGTCCTTGGACTTCTTCTTTGGTGGTGTTTTATGATAAACCGAATTTGAATTTGAATGGAAGAATCCATAAGGGCTACAAGCAGCTGGATAATGTGGATTCAAACCATCAGCCGCATGAGTACGTGCACTTGTAGTTAGCACATCTGCACTAAAAAGCACTACGTCGAGGGGTTCAAATCCCATCTGGGTAGCAATGAAACACTCTTTCATTCACTGGAAAGAAACACTCAGTAAAAGCAGAGCATGTCCTGATAATGAAAATACACGGGAAAACTTTGAATGGAATTTATAGCAAATGGGAAAAATGTTTGCAAATTGAGTCAGTTCAGTATTCCAACAGCGCATGCTCAGTACGAGGCAAATTCGGGAACAGCTACATGTGCGGGTGACATGCAACAGTCTGTCCTGTCTGTGCAGCCATACGCTGACCCGCACGCATGCTTTGTTCCCGAGAGACCCTGGCTTTTTGAAATACCGCACTGGCTTATTTTAGTGTATCTCTGTTCTTAATGTGAGGGATATCTACCATTTACATTAAGAGTCATGAAGTAGTCACCTATTTACAACTATGCTCCTTATTTGTCCCCTTGTTTACTGTCCTGTGGTTCATCCACCCCGGCCTGCATCATGAGTTCAGCAATGTTCTTTTCAAGGTCATCAATCCGTGTACCCATCTCATCTAGTGAAAATGTGGTCAAGGAAGAATGTCATCTAAATGACCAAGTTACGTAAAATTTGAAAATACCAAGCACAAGGCATTTTAAATCCAGCATGGTGTTATGACAGCATAAAGGTACTTGCACTTGACCATATAAAGTATTAGGGAAAGTGGCAAATATGATTTCAGTCACATTAAAAAAAAAGGATATTTCTTCCGATGATTCTGTCGGACATGTTCTGAAAGTTGTCTTGCATCTGCTGCAGCAACTGCTGTACCTTTGGGGAGAAAATAAGAGTGATCAATGTAAGTAACTCTCTCACACTGACTGACACTTTGCCCATGAACATATTTTCAAGACATTAAGGCCTATTGTTCATAATTTTCATATGTTTTCGGCAATGCAAATCCCATGCCCATGGTTAGCACTTAAATATTACAGGCCCTGTTTTTAAGGTGCCATACATCAAAAAATATATGGTTTGGGAAGCTTTAGGGTGCTCATATGAAGTCCAACTTCTGAGGAATATGCTGGTTTAAGTAAAATTGTCAAGTGATTCTCATTTCGAGAGATATTATTTGGCATGTTTGGACTCAAAGTTTGTGACAATCCTGCAGTTTGGATTTCAGGCATTTAAGACATGCTGTGGTGGTGGGCAACAGGTACGAGACAACCTGTAATTAAAAGAGAGCTACCACAACCCTTCGTGTGGGTACATGTGGGTCAGCCCGGCACATCTAATCAGCCAATCACGAAACTGATGCAGTATGATGCCAACGTAGGAAGTCTGGAAATGAACTCGCTGAAAAAAACAAATTTATCAGCCATTAGTAATTACTTACAAACTGTGTCAGGTCCTGGACATTTTTTGGGTCCTGTCCGGTGCCTACTTCTGTTTTCATGTCTGTCATCATTCAATGATTTTAATAGCCCTAACGATCCCTTGCAATGTTAACGGCCAATCCTAACGCGATGCTAAATTAACCACATAACACACGTATAAAGCAAATAGTGCGCATGTAACTGCGCAAGCGCAATTCGTGAATCAACAAATAAAACGCACGGTGGCCCATGTATACCCCTGACGAACGTTCCCACAAATTTCAGTTGGCGAAAAGAGGCTTTTCCGAAAAACAGCAACAGACCAAGACACAAGATAACCTGCAGGCCAGAACGCAGGGTTAGGATAATTTCCGCCAGCAGTGCAGTGTCAGAACCCAAGTTATTTGTGAAGTGATTAGAATCAAGAAATGAAAGTGTGCCGAATAACGTGTCCATCAACCGTGCACTATTATGGCGAGTTACGGTGGTCGGGAGCCAACGTTGATCGTGTCCAAAAAGTTCCATACTGCAGGGTTTGAGGAACGCCTGCCCAAGTCCTTGGTAAATATAGAGCGCCGGTTTTCGGCTGCAAACGCCTCTATAGTTCAAGCTTAAAAAAAAGAACCTATCAGAAAGGCTTCTAAGCCAATTTTAAACACTACACAGGAACCTGGCGTGCCTAAAACAAAACAATTGTGTTATCAACAACGAGGAGATACTTTTCAAAAATTAAAGCCTTTAATGTGCTTGATATTTCTTTATTTCCATTAATCTCAATAAAGGTGTATAATTTATTTAAGGTAAAGAGAGATTTTTATACAATACAAGTGATGAATGGTGACGTCTGACAGAAAACAGTTGGGAGTACTTGGCCAGGCCGGGCCCCCATTTTCAATGGAAAAGAACAAAGCAAATGTAGGCTAAACAAGGAAAGTAGAACATAAGGAAAAGAACTGAATTACAAGTATAAACAGAAACAGTTGTAAGTTTAAATACATGTAAACAATAACAAAACAGCGAACACAATTTATCATTCAGTTGATCAATTTGTGAAGCATTTTGGGTTGTATGTTTAAACATGAGGTTGTACTGCTTTGTTTCTAATCTAAATCGCAGTAATTATCACGACCACGAGTCTAAAGGATTTTTAAACAGACACGATTAAACAGACACGTTTATTGACGATTTCAACCCTGTAAGATAATACTTTGTCAAATCACAAGTTTTCATTTGTATTTTATCACTCAAGATTATCTGAAAACAATCCGATTATACGAAAAAAAATCAACTTAATTTTTTTTACATGAAACGGTTTTTTACATGCTCTTATTCATGTATGAATCAGATTTCTATTTGATCATGTTCCACCACCTCAAGGGCACAGAAACGATCCGAAATTCTTATTCGAACTTTCACCGATTAAGCCACACGAAGAGTTACTGTGCATTACAAATGATCTACTATAGTGCGTGCTTCATTATGTTATCCAAAACATTTGAACGAGTATGATCTGTCAGACTGATAAGAAAGAATTGGTCAAAGGTAACAACGAAAAATTTAATCCCACGGCGTAGAAAATAAATAGATGATTTTAGAGATATTCAGGAATATAAAGATCCCCCTGAATATGTTAGTCTTTAGATTACTACAGAGAAATACTACCAAACTGTAATACTTAAAGCAGTACTTTGAATAAAAATATAGTAACTTTGAATATAAAATGTAGATTTATAGAAGTCTCTTCACACCTTAGTTTTGAACATCCCCGTTTTCACACACATAACACCATGGAAATAATGTAGAGAAGCTGGTAAAGCCCCCAGACTTGTTCTTTAATTAAACACACGATTAAATTCATGTGACTCAATTTTAAAAGACATATAAAAACACACGATTAAATTCATGTGACTCAATTTTAAAAGACATATAAAAACAAAAACTGTCATTGGCCATATTACAGGTTTTTCCAGCCAATTTCAGAAAATGTGTAAATGAATTAGTAATACCAGCATTTGTTTTCGAGCGAAATAGAACGAACATTCAAATCCCTGTTTCTATTTAACATATAAAAATTCTATTTTAAGGAGGATGCATTCAGTCGTCTAGAGTCAGTGTTCAATTTCCTGATATTGATATATTACTGGTTTTGTATATTGACATTTATTTTTGCGCGAAATTGAATGCACCTCTGCAATCCTGCATTCATCATAATTTGAACTGAAGCCATTTCGCAAAAATATATGCAAGCGATTTCGCCTGTGTGTTATTTAAGGTATGCCTGGTCTAGTACTAGAATTCGTTTGTGTACTAATAGAAGTTACATTCTTAGAAGTGTTTAGCTGATTGGCTAAATGTTTGATTATTCATGATTGAAATAAACCGTTCATGTTGTCATTGGAAACGACTGATTATTGCAGGAAACCTATGAACACCGGGGCTGTGCTGCGTTTGAATCATAGAAACCTTAATTTCTTTTACAGTTTGATAACAAAAATACTATAAATGAGTAACATGACATTTATTATCAAAAGGGTATCAGGATTTTTGTAACCGTGTATATATTCTAATCAAATTGAACGTATATTTTGAGATTTTAAATTACAGCAAATGAAAATGAATGCTCACTTCCAAAGGGTTACTGTAAAAGACAGATTTTCAGTGAATAAGAATGCACATTTATCGTCATTGGCAAGGAATACGTCAATCCGAAATCCCAGTCAGGTATTTTAATGAAACACGGGCCTAATGCACATTCATTTATTTGAGGATGCAAACACGAAGTCGAATGCTTTTTATTGCAAAAATGAGACCAGGTTTTAAGTCATTTTCAAAATATACGCTAAATTGAAATTTAATTTTACAAATTAGATCGCACATTTTCCGAAATTGGCCGTAAAAACCTGCACTGCGTCTTTCGGCAGTACCTGGCAAGATACGGATCTTTGGATCAATTTAATATTAACGACAATGACGACAATGACAAAAACAACAACCCGACATAAAAACATCCAGTTTAGTCTGGTTTGAGGGATTGTGGAGGATCAGACTTGGAGCCCAATCATTTCCAGAAGTAAAACTAGTTCTGGGAATCACCGAGGAGAGTGGCGTCTGGATGTTTCGGGAATCAAACTATTCCAAGGGCGGATTCATAGCCCAATTTTCGAGTGTAGGGGGCCTAAAATTTCGAAAATTTCTTTGTGTAACCTTTCATAGTTTTGTTTAAAAGGTGAGGCTAAAATGGGGCCTTGTAAATTTGTATACGCTTTTCAGAGGAGGGGAACTGAAACACCCATTGGTCCATGGATTCGTCACAAACGAGCCAGTTCGGTATTTCAAAAAGGCACGGTCTTTCAGGAACAAATTACGCCCGTGAGTCGAGTTTGGTTGCGCTATTAACGACCTCGGACGCGCTTCAGTTCGGGCATGCGCTGTTGGAATTCTGAACTAGCTCACTCGTAATGAATAATATACAGTATTTCCATCCTTGATTCACACCGCCGTGCCTTTTCAGAAGTGGTTTCCTATGAGTGTCATCAGCCAGTATGGAAGCTTAATGAATGAGGGTGTCAAGGCTTCCAGCCATGGGTGGCCAATCCAGTGGAACAGCGTCTTGACTTGTCGTATACTTTCCGGAGTTTTACCGTCAATGTCCCGGAACCCATACTCACACCCTAGCTCTGCCGTGATGAAAATACGACCGGTTTTATTCATGATTTGGGGATCTAGAAAATAAAAACACGCGAGAAAATGTTGTTAGTTGTGCACGAACCTCTTGCCAAAAGCAACAATGGTAAGTATTGACGCAATCTCCCTCTTATGTGCAAAACTCCCCTTCCCGTTGTCTCTTTGCATCTGTTAAAAAATCAACATCTCACAAGTTTTTCCGTGTGTTCATGTGAAACCCTGACGAGGAGGCGGTATGTGATCCTGCAAGTTACGAGAACAGTGTTCTTGAGTCGTGCTCCCGCCGTTTGAGCGCGAGAACAAAAAACCTGTGTCAATAACAGGCGGCGAAATCGACCAATGCGTTAATACGGGCGATTTACAATAGTGCACCTCCAAGAGTTTACAAAAATTTTTGGCCAATCACAAAACGCCAAATCTGTCGACCCTTTCCAAACGTGCATCGGGCCGATTGATTTCACGCATCGTGATTGGCCACGCGTTGCAAACTCTTGGAGGCTCACTATTGTCAATCGCCCATATTCATGCGTTTCACATTCATAAACATCAAAATCGATGTCATTAACGTAACACATGTGTGTGTATTGCGTTTGGCCGTCAACCCCCCCCCCCGGATAAAGGAAATGCAACTAAAGTCGAATTAATAAACTGGATCGGTGTCTATTGCTCAGATTTTAGAAGTCTTCATTCATGTTGATTAAAGTGTATGCAAAAACTTCACATGTTTGACGTCCACATAAATGATGTTGACATTCTATAAATCCATATTTGAACATGCAAATTACCATTTTTTCAATTATTTAGCATACAGTGACTCAAAATATTGGTTCTCTTCATTTTAGTAGCCCGTACCGTACTCAATCGCAACTAAAGGGCAGAGTATGACATCTGTTTGCGTTTTACATTTTGTGATCTCTTAATTCGGAATTTCGAAAGATTTCGACATTTTAATTGCATCATGGGATTTCATGACAAATAATGCATGCATTTTATGCACGGACCAATTACGAGACTGATTTAGTCAATCATCAACTGATATATTTCTTCATTTTAGTACCCGCGAATGAAGTCACAAACTGATCCATATAGCCTACAGTTCAAAAATTTAGAAATATAAGCTAAATGTTTGAGAGTACATCAGAATCTGAATCTCGATATCGTACTTCTGGTTGGCCAATTCCAGCGCATTGACATTCATGATCATAGTTCAAGACAGAAACTTAAACACATGGAAGGGGTTCTATTAACTTTCTTTCCTTTTTTCGGGTAAACTTTACAACTTGATCTAAGCTAATATAATTGACTATGTGAAAAAGAAATCGAGCCAGCCAGCGCTTTTAATACATGTAGATTACTTTCTGATCGCAAAATATGAAGATTTTTGCCTTAGTTCGTAGCATTACCTTTTGCAAGGTGGACAATCGCTTTGCCCGAATACTCGATTGACTCGCCATACTTCATGAAGTATTCCTATAAAATGATCAAAAATCAATTTCTGATTATAGCACGAGGTCGCTTAAATGTCTCCGGGAAGTCCACCAGAAACATCTTATAACTTCTGAAAACAGCTTTATGGAAGTAAATAATAATAAACATTGGAATGGATGTTTCTTCTTTGCCCTTACGAGGTTCACTGTCTGTCTTGGGACTTGTGCACGGGTTGTGCAGGTAATGCTGCCTATATTTAATCCCACTCACACCCGTCTCCTTCCTTGGGCCTGTAGCTTATGCTGTTTGCATCTGTCTGTTTGTCCGTCGTGTCAACCATGCACTTGTCAGGTGTATTTTTTCACTCACGTAATTCTTCTTATCGAGGTCTGTCCTGTCCTGTGCAGTCCACTTTTCTAGTACCATCTCCGTCGTCACTTGTCCTGGCCACAATGACAACATCGCAACGTTGTGTTTCTCCAACTCCAGGCCACAGTCCACCGCCATGCGATCACACTACACAGCATCACATCCAAAATGATTCATGATTTCTTCTAAAGACATTTATGTCAATGGCATGCACAATCTCGTCTTGGAAGACACACCTATTGTCCCATAACAAATTTCCCTCTCAAGTTAACACACTATAAGACAATATGAAGCGATAGGTTGAATACACCAAACCTTATTCCTTATGACACGGTTCCAAAATTAACCGAAAGGAAAGTACCAGTCCCCTCTAATTAAAAACCTTGGCGATTAAACAGAACTGGAACACATTGCTATGTTTAAATACGCTTATACATTTGTGTAATTACCAATCTTGACAATTTTCAGAGATTTTGTCCTTTATCCTTAGAATAGTAAGCTAATATTTGCTGTATCTATCCACTTCAATCACAAGACCCGAGAAAAGATATTAGAAAAGAAAGAAACCAAAGAATTAAAAGATGCGCCTACAAATACAACAAAGACTAAGAGAAACGACCTTTTATCCCCTTTCAGCGACAAACGATAATTTTGCCACTTACAGAAGTTTTCCCCACGCAATACAGAGCGCTGAAGAAACGGATGAGGCCTGCAGACGATGAGATATTGACGATGAGACCCTGTTTCGCAGGTACCATCATCTGAGCAGCGTGCCACGTGGCCACGTAATGGCCCCTATCGGAGAAACAGGATTAAATGCATACTAATCTCTACGTCGTCTCTGAAGTCTTGTAAGATAGAAGAACTTATCATCGCTCTTAGTGTGTACAACATCCTAGTAGTGGGAATACTTTATCAAGTAGGTATCAACATCGTGGAATAAAGGAAAGGGGACACACGTTGCTAGTCTGGATGCCAGGTGTGTCTTGATTACTTGGCTACGTCTTGCATTAACAATCATGCTATTACTGCTAGCTAGCGGCTTTGTGCATTTGTGCGCAGAATCTTAAGACGTACCCCTTGCCTGGAAGAGGCCACTTCTTTAAATAATACTCGGTGTTTAGCAATCATTATCCACCATTGGTGGTCTCTTGGTGGGTTAGATTTATATAGTAACTTACTTGTCCCCGGCCTAGGCTGGCCTGGTACATTGAGGCATGGATGTCAGATTAAAAAGTCTGGACTCGCGATGCTCTTGTACCAACTGAAGCCACCGGCGGCCGTCTTATCGAGCCAAATACAAAGGTAATCGTTGGCTTTCGTGTCATTTTAATTAGTGTTATGTTCCCACAAACGATTTGGTTAATAATGGCGAGCGAGCCTTCGGCACGTTAAGCTGGCCGTCAGCGGCTTCAGTGGTCCCTGGGCTGAATAAGGGCACTGCAAGTCCAGATTTTTGCATTACGTGCATTAGGGTGTTGATATTTTGCTGATCGTGCGATTGAAACCATTAGAACGCAGCATACGTCAAAGACAATACCAAGGTTATTCAGGCAACAATAGGAAGTGCATGCATTCTTCAGTTTAGTTAAAA